TCAGAAGCCGCCGGTCCAATCACCGACGTATTTCCTTTGCATCTTCCACACCTCTCATTTAACATCTAGAGTCTTAATTAAGATTTTGGATGGGATTGTAATAAGATTGAGCAATAAATTTAATAAATAGTGAGCTTTATGTGTTAAATATGTAAAAAAATAAATTTAAGTAGCATCTATGCAAATTTTGTTGAAAATAATTTGATTGTTTATTATGATTTGCTATCAATCAGCACGGATCGCTAAGAGGGATCTTGTGGACCACTTCGAGGGATTTTGTGGTTATAATTTTTGCCACCTAAGCTACTACTAGACATTTTATCATAGATTATGTGGTGATAATGCTGCCACGTAAGTTTCTACTGATCCACAAATTCATTGTGACTCGACAAGTTTCAACAACCCATCAAATCGGGAGAAATTATTTCGTCCGAACAAAAAATATTATTTGAACTATGAGTATACACACAATGTGTATAAAAAATTAATGCACAATGTATATAAATATATACATAATATGTATATCATATATCCGAACAATTCTTCCCGTTCGACCTCCGCACATAATAATATCTCTCAAATTTGATACGTTGATTGGCTCCCGATAGAAAAAATGTACTTAAAAAAAATATTGTGAGAATATCTTATCAAAGATCTTATATATGTATATATTTTTGTGATTAAATTTGTTAAAAATGTAAAAAAAATTATGATTAAAATTTAATTAAAATATATTTAAAATTTTTATATTTATTTTAAGATGAATTTTTAGATTATATTCATCTCGACATAAATTTGAGTTTCAAAATATATTTTAATTAAATTTTAATAATAATTTTTTAATTTTCTTATTTATAATTAAAAAAATAAAAATCTATATTAAAGAAATTTTATCCATCTAAAATTTCAGTAATTCTTTTCATTTTCTCATTTAAGATTATACATTCATCTTTGATTATAAATTAAATATTTTAATTTAGCTCTAAATTAATCTTACTTTAAAATAAAAAAAATATTACAGATAATTAATAGGCTCAAAATCAATTATAGAATAAATTTCATACATGAAATTAATGAATATTAAATTCAAAAAAAATTTAAACATAAAATCTCTGCTCTTTAATGTTCCATTTAGGATATTGTTGCGTCCTGGAGTATTCGCGGCGGTAGAGAAATATTTAGTTTAACGTCT